AATCTGATTTTAATTTTTAATTTTTTATTTTTTTACCAAATATATATATATATATATATATATATATATATATATATAAAATACAATATACGTAAATGCCAGGATTACCCAAATGATCCGTTTAGGTGAAGAACTTATTTTAGCTTTTTTTTTCCTTGTTTTATTAAATATATATAAATATATATCTATATATATATATATATATATATATATATATTTATATAAGAAGATATATATTCACCACTTTGTCCATATATATATTATATGTTTACTAAGTATTGGATATTAGTTTAATAATGTTTCAAATAAATAGAATGTAATGTCAGAATTATTTGTTAATGTTTTCGGGTATAAAGCGGTGAGTTTTCCGCTCGGAATCGTTAGAGAGTTTTTATTTGCTGACTTCTTTCTCGAAGAAAACCTTGCCGTCTGCTTTTAGCGAGGAACTCTTGCTGGTGATAAGACTGCCTCGCGTCCCGCGACACTGCGTCCGCTCTAAGCCATATTTCTAATACCATTTAGGCGTGATCTGTTGAGATCAATCATTCTCCAAAATCCTGGACAATAGAGTCGTCGAAATCAACATTACGAGCCAGCAGCCCGAAATAAAACCTTATGTCTACAGACTTGGCTGTTGGCATTGTATATGAGAAGAGACTTCAGGGAACCTGAGCTGTTTTACTGACCACTCGATTGAACGCACGATTTACTCTTTATCTTCGGTGATAAAATGTTGGTCACTGCTACGACGACTGCAAATGATACTTGCTGGTTCATTCCAAGTGTTAGAGGATGTGCCCAAAATGGTGGAAAATGCGATATACCTCTAAAAGAAAGATCCGTACAAATACGCATTTTGTATGAATTATAATGAAGAAAGATAGCGCACAGAATAGTAATACATTATGATTTATCGTTAAAATACTTGAACAATGTATAACCTATAATGATAACAATTACACACATACACACATATATATATATATATATAGTTAGTTCCCTGACGATCCGCGTAGGTGAAACTTTGGTAGGTTTGTCTAGCTCTTTAGGTTTAATTAGGTTTATTATAAATAGCATATTGAGAACTTTCAAATTTAGTTATTTTATATTACTTGTATCGGGTTTTTTTTTTGGACTTTGCTTTAATAAAAAATAAAAACGATTATTTTCTAATGACGTACATATTTTTTGTTTTTTTTTATTTTTTTTAAAAACCTTTTGGTATTGGTTTGATTATTTGCAAATCAAGACACATGAAATTTTCTGCAACGAGTATAATTTATTATAATTATATTTATTATTACATATATATGTAAAGATTATTACTACATATATATATATATATATATATATATATATATTTACGAAAAATGGACAAAGTCCGATAATCATTTTAAATTTATCATCTCTTTATACGTTATTTTTATAGATACAAACATTTAATATAAATTCTCTGTTTATAATATATAATATATATACCATTATATATATATATATATATATATATATATATATATATATATATATATATATATATGTTTGTGTGTAATTCATCAAATCTATAAGAATATTCAACAGAATGCAGAAAGCATGATGGACGACTGTTTCGTAATATATTAAACTCATCAGCATATGCGCATCCACTACCGAGAATTTTAACCCGCTTAAGTTACGTTATCAGGCAAACGTCATACCTTGGTGATGAAGAGGTAGCGAATCAGACTCAATATAGCCCTTCCAAATCACATTTCCGTGGTTGATTTATAAAATATCGCTTCGACTACCGGGGCCCGTTTTACAGTTGGTATGGTGTTTGCCTCCTAAATACTGTTCCGGTTTATTATATATATATAGATAGCTCATATTGCAAATAATCCGAATATAGGACGAAATGGCTGTCCATATGCTTAATTAATTTTTGTTCATATTTGTTCAAACTCGATGTATTATTTAATTATAATTATCTCAAATCCTCCTAAATTAATCATACATATATGCTCTACTTTTAATATCGAGCACTATTTTTTAAAAATAATAACAAAAATACTAAAGAACTTTTAAATTTTTTTACGGGATTTTCGAGTTCATTTCCTATATAAACCACACACACACACACACACACACATATATATATATATATATATATATATATATATATATATATATTTTGAAGATATTCCTGTTGTTTAAATTTGACGTATGAAATAAACAGAAATAGTTCTCTCTAAACTGAAAAGACATTTATCCACTTTTAATTATATTATAGAAATGAAGGTTTATATTTCAGGAAATTACACTTTTTGAAGATATAAAATAAAAAGACCTACATAACTAAATGCCATGTAGAGTCATAAAAAACGATATTCTTATTTTTAAAAAAAAGTTTTCCTTCTTTTCCATTTGAAATAAAAAGGATATATATCTGTAAATATCTATCAAAAACTTAAAAAAGAGGAGAAGAAAGATATTTCCCCACCTTTTTTAGGGTATATAATACGAATAATAATGTAATGGATTATACTAAATTGAACTCGACTCGCCGATTCCTCAATTTCAATCTCCTTATCCATTCTTATCCATCACAATTGAGAATCTTTAAAAATCATCTTTTCTTCTTCCCCCAACTAAATAGAAAGGATGATTCAAAAAAAAAAATTAAATTGGATTCATCAAATTATTAAAAGAAGGAAAAATGATTTCGAATACCTTATAAGGATATTTTTTTTATACATTTATCTTAACATATTTATTTTAAGATCAATAAAATAAGGCCCTTCAAAAAATGGTTGGTTTTTTTTATTTTAAATTTTACCACCATTATAATCAATCAATATGGTAAGATTGTCAATCTGTTACAGGAATCTAAATCTAGGAAGTGTCTTGCAACTTCATACTTTCGATAAACGACGGTTCTAGTCTTTACACACACACACACACACACACACACACACAAAATATATATATATAAATTATTTTTCAAAGGTCAAATTGGTGAAAGCTCTAATCTAAAATGAGCTACAATGATCTGTTGTTAACTCAAATTTGAATGTTTGTTATTTTTTAAAAAAAAAGCTGCTCTCTTTTAATAATCTGAGAGAATCCTTTTTAACTTTTTATCAACATGGCTGATGCTAACCTCCAGGAAAGTGACGCATTGATCCTTCACGGGCTGACTTTTTCCACTGACATGAAGTGGAAAGATTATATCGAATTAACTGCAAGGTCTGCAGCTAAGAAAGTTAGTTCACTATGTCGTGTTAGACAATTTTATTTTTTTGTCAGAATCTATCTTACATATTTATAAGTCTACCATTCATTCTTGTTTGAATATCACTGCCACATCTTGTTTGGTATTCCTGCTATATATTTAGAGATTCTTGATAAAATCCAAAGAAGAATCTGCAATGTTATTGGTCCTCACCTGGTATTTCAGCTGCAGTCCCATTTTCCATCGCTATAGCATAGTTCCTCTGCCTTTTTATTAATACTTTCATGTTAATTGTTTGGATGAACTTTCCCTAAAGGGAGCCTAGACTTTATGAATTTAAGCATCATACTAGATTGGCAGCAAGGTCTCATCATTTTACAATTGAAATGGTTAGATGTAACCGCAAGTTCTATGCTAACAGTTTCTTCTCTCGCACTTCTCACTTGTGGAACTCTTTTGGCTTCTTGCTTTCAAAATCAACATTGATCTTCAAAAATTTAAATGCAATGTAAATTGTTATCTTTCATCTTAATTCTTGTTCTTTTATTGTCCTCTCTTCTTAATAGTAGATTTTCTCATATTCTCTAACACTCAGTGTCTTAGTGGTTTTATTGCTTTGTTTGAGGTTGAAATGATTAAAAAAGAAAAAAAAAAGAAAAAGAAAGAAAGAAAGAAAGACAGCTTGAATAATTTGATACCCATGACATATATTGAAGGCAAGAGAAGCAGGGTGAAGCAGTGAATAACCTACTTGATGTTGCTTGGTTCACTATATCAAGAAAGACAATTTTTTTTATCAGAATCTATCTTACATATTTATAAGTCTACCATTCATTCTTGTTTGAATATTGCTGCCACATCTGGTTTGGTACTTCTGCTATATATTTAGAGATTCTTGATAAAATCCAAAGAAGAATCTGCAATGTTATTTGTCCTGACCTGGCATCTCGGCTTCAGTCCCTTTTACTACCGCCGTAACATAGCTTCCCTGTACCTTTTCTATAAATATTTTCATGGTAATTGTTCCGATAAACTTTTCTCTATGTTATCTAGACTTTATGAATTTATGCGCAATTCTAGATTTGCGGCAAGGTCTCATCGTTTTACTGTTGAAATAGATAAATATAACCGTAAGTTCTATGCTAACAGTTTCTTCTGTTACACTTCTCGCTTGTGGAACTATCTTCCGGCTTCTTGCTTCCCAATCAACTTTGTATTTAAATTTTTCAAGATCAATGTCAAACATTATCTTTTGTCTTCTTAATTCTTGTTCTTTTATTGTCCTCTCTCCTTAATAGTAGTTTTCTCGTATTCTCAAACACTCAGTAATCCCTTGAGTCTTAGTGGCTTTATTGCCGTACCTGGGGTGAAATAATTAAAAAAAATACAGCTTGAATAATTTGATACCCACGGCATATATTGACGGCAAGAGAAGCAGGCTGAAGCAATGAGTAACCCACTTAACGTACTTGGCATAATAGATACTAACACGCATAAAGTGAAAAGACGGCTTGGTGAATTTGACACTCACAAGGTATATTGAAGTCAAGGAAAGCAAAGGGAAACAGCAAGTACCCTACTTCACGATTTCATATAAATGGATGGAAGATGCCATCGGTTTTTTGTCGACTCTCTGTATACCAAACTAAAATTGGAGATTTTTTCATCTGCAATCCGGAACACATAGCAACGCTGAAAAACTCTTTCTACTTACGATGCAGCCCACCATCACCAGGCGTTTTCCTAATTCCTTTTCACTGTACAGAGGGGTGGTTGCCGGGTAGAAACAGACTGGAGAAAGGGTAGTTCAATCTGTTGGTAACAGTAATATCGATTACTCTTCGCTGGCAACAGAGCGAAATGACCAGGCAACAGAAGCTAGCCGCAAGAGGTGACTCACCGCTATAACTTACACCGACTTTCTCAAGTGCGAACCGTCTGGGCGTCTGTTGCAGCATTTCTTGCACCGCCATCACTGACAATAGCAGCACCATCACCCCGTTATACCTGTTGTTGCAGATTTTCAGTCAAATATTTTGTTCGAAACAAAAGAGTAAAATGAACAAATGCAATATGTAATCTCCTACACAATAAATGGCAGTTGGACAGTTAAACGAGAGATTTAAACGACAGATCCACAGAAGAATTCCGAGAATTTCATATGAATCATGGAAGGAGATTATCCAGACATTTTAAAATACAGTAGAATCCCTCATATCCGGAATCCCTCATATCCGGAATCCCTCATATCCGGAATCCCGCATATCCGGACATGATTTTGATGTGTATATTTGAACTATTTGGGTGATATGTAACTGATTTGAAATTTCTGTTTTTCAGGAAATTTACTTTGGATAATTGCTTATGCTTATTTCACCCTAATGGCTTGTATTGGTGCAAAAGATGATGGGAATAAGAGGAAAAGAACAACTTTGGAGTTATCGCAAAAAGTGGAAATTTTAAACAGACTAGACGCTGGTGAAAGTTCATTGTAACTAATGGCTGAGTTCAACATAGGAAAGTCAACATTGTATGATATAAAATCTTCCAAAGAAACTATTCTCCAGCGTTCACACTGTCACAATGAACAAGGAAAAAAAAAAAAAACATGATTTTGATAAAACCTGGAATGAAATTGAAAAAGCTATTGAAAAGGTTGTCAGTTTTATGGAAAGAAAGCCAGCATTCAGCTATGACGATTGCAATAACGCACGCAGAGTTAAAAAGTGTCTTTCGTTTAAAAAAATTTCAAGAACAAAAGCAAAACGAAATGCGGAAAAAGTTGAGAATGACATTAGAAGAGAAAGAATCCTCATGCAACAGCGATTAAAAAATCCCCGTTACATTATTTGTTTTACATACGTGGCAGACTTAATTTAATGAATTTTCATTAACATTACATAACTTATTTATTTTTCGTTAAAATCAATTCCGTTATATTTCACTCACCATTAGCTTATTTTGTTTACTATAAAACTTTGAAAATAAATGTTAAACTTGATTTCAGTTCTTTTATTTTAATCTAAATATAACCCTCCATATCCAGACTTTGTAACCAATTCCTCATATCCGGAAGACCTTCTTAGTCCGAGCAACGATTCTACATTCATCCCTTTAAAGATAATGATCATTAAAAAGCGAAATTGAAAGATCTTTCAAATCGTAAATGCTTAAAATTTGAATTGTATCAAAAAAACTTAAGGAAAAAATGACTTATCATCTAACAGTAAATAAGAAAAAAATATAATATATACAAAATACAATTAAAAAAAGGCCTGTCAAAAAAATGAAAAAATTAATCAGTAAATAAATATAAATTAATTTTCAAAAATTCCGGTAAAGCCTGGGATATACGCCAAATCCAAATTTCAAACTAAATTTCATAAAAAAATGTCCCTCGGGAAAAAGAAAAATTTTACCAAAAAATTTCTAATATGTTATTATTTTTGATATTTCAGGAAAAATCGAGGACAAAACCTAAATAAATCAAAATAAAATAATGAGTTGTTGGTTGATTGTTTTTGTTTAACATTATGGGTTACTTAATACCAAAATCTAAATATTTTGTATTAATTTTTTTTAGACAATAACGGTTCTTTCGATAGTCAGTCAGAAGACGTTTAATTAACCCATAGCTGGGGAGAAGTGAAGCAGTTTTAATACCTTTATTGCATAATGTTCTGAAGAGGAAAAAAATTAACTTCAGTGAATTGGAACTTGGTTCTCCAATTAACAATTCCGAGCCATTATCCATTGCACCAACCGTATATCTACGCTTACGCACCTGGTATTCATAATATATATACCCAATAGGTACAGACCAGACTGTGTATGCTTTGTTCAACATAGATTTTATTAGCCTAAAATAATGAGGAACGGTAAATTTTATGACAGAGAATCAACATTTTGAATCTTTTGTGATGACATCGAACAAAATTATATATACTTTTATAATATCATATAATATATCACTATCAATGTGTGTTGTAGTATGTACTTTGTAATCGCATATATATAAATATACATATATGTTGAACAACGTATGGTGTCGGACGCCTTGGAATAGTAATTCACCAATAATAGATTATAAATTCAATAATAATGCTCGTATAGTGATTAATGCATAGGTATATTGGATTTTAAATTTTGCAGATCAAATAAACGTTATGCGATATAAATAGAATATTTATATATATATATATATATATATATATTCAATAATAGGATCGTCTGTGTTTGTTCAATCAAATCGATCTATGTTCAAGTGTTCAAGTGTCTTTATATTGATATATTTATTCATATTTAACAGAATCGCATATACATATATTATATATAAAAGCCAATAACGTTTATATATATATATGATGATGTGTTGATGTGTTGCTTAGATTTAATCTATGGATCAGGAATAACGTTCAAACAAATATTACCAAAATGAAGCATATATATATGAAAATGATTATTTACTAAATATATCTTTTATATTGACCTTTTGTTATTTTTTTTAATATTCCCAAAAGAAACTTTATTTCCCAAGCTCTGAATAATCAATTCGTAAAATTTTTCTTGAATGGCTGAGAAATAATCATAGAAAACAAAAAGTTCGTTAAATTAAAATGTCTGTTAATAAATTGTCGGCGTGATGCTTTTAATATAAAAATGTATTCATGTATGTCAGAGGAAATGTTAAGACAAAAATGGAAAAAAGCACGTGCCATCTTTTCATTTGTTAGAACTTCGATCGAAAATTTGCTGATGTTTGACTACAGTTGCGGGACATAATAAATTTTCGATTTATAAATATTTTCTGTTTTTTTAAATGATTTTCATTACCTCTTTAGAAATTAAATTTTAAATATTTTTTTTGTATATAGGACTCATTATTATAACAATAAATCATCCAAGAATGGTGAAAATTTGAGAATATGGTTGTTAAATTGGGATGTTCTGTTCTAGTTCCAATTTATATATATTTAGTATATATATATATATATATATATATATATATATATATTTTTCCTTTTGCCTTAAATTTATTTTCCTTTACTAAGGCCCAGGTAGTTCCAATTTTCATAAATAGGAAGATAAGATAAAGTAAGTAGAATTTTTAGTATTTGATTTGGAAAAATTTAATTTTCCACTATGATATTTAATAAACCTCAAAACTTTGTTTTGAAACCTACTGACGGTTTTTAATTGAAATTCCTAAGTCTTGGTTTATTTGAACAAATTGGGTGGTTTATTACAATAATAAGCATCTTTACCTATGTTTGAAGGAATGATTTCCGAATTTTAATGCAAAATTGTTTTTCATAGTAAAATTCTCATATAGTATGTTTCCCTTTAAATAACATTATTTTATATATTTATGTATACGTATTCATGTTTTTATTCAAATAAAGCCATGAATACAAAAGATATAGATATATGTAATTTTCCTTTTTTTGTTTTTTTGCTATATCTTTGATTTATCAGTTTTCATATTGTGAATATATGCATTTAGATTTTATTATGTACAAAATTTTGTTTATTCGGACTGGATGATTCATTTTTCGCCACAGGGTTTTTGCAAAAATCATATTTCAAATGGATGTCAGTTATCAAATATTTGGAGAGAGATTCCCAGACACAAAAGTTCTCCACTGCCTTAAATGTTTTTTTGGGTCCACACACAATGAACAAAATTATATATATTTATATATATATATGTGTGAATGAGGACTAAAAAAACATATGATTTTCTGGATTTTTTAATCTTTAAAATATGCAACAATTTTTAGCATTACTCTATGGACATTTGCCAATTTTGTGTTATTTTTGTTCCCCGCCAACAACAAAAGAAAATATTGCATTTCTTGTTCAATTATAGTTGAAAATTAAGTTCTGTTCTCCCCTTTAAAATAGGTAAATTTTTTTTTAAAAAATGAAAAAGTTCAATAAAAGGATTTTTTGTGGCATAAACATATTTTGCAAATTTTTCTTTTTTTTTTTTTTTTTTTCAATTGTTTGTTGTTCTATGATCTAATTTTTGAGAATAATGCATGATTTTTGTCTTTTTTTTACACTCCATATGTGGTCCATGCCTGATTTTTGAATCTCTTCAGTTTGATACCTTTTCGGCTTAATATCTTTCACAGGAATCTTTTCCAAAACCAAATTTTTTTTTTTATATAGTATATATCACCTTTTCATATACAAAGACAAAATATCTTTTTAAAGCCGTAATCAAAATTTGGCCTTTGATTAGTCATTATTTGGACTCGACTTTGATATTTTATATTCTGTATAGAATCGAACTTTCAAACAAATTTGAACGATTAAAAGAAAGAGCGGAATTATTTTTGACTTTGACTCTCTGAAAGCCATTCTGGTGGAACTGCCATTGCAGATCGAATTTAATTTATAGCTGAAGATGCAAGGAATTGAACATATCAATCATTATATACATTATAAACTTGATTGTTTTATCAGTAAATATAATAACTTTTTTTGTCATTTTTTATCAGATGGCAATTATTTTCTCCATTGAATACATACACGCACATACACAAAAACACACACGCAGACACACAAATTATGCAAAAAAAAAAACACACACTTATATATCATTTTAGCTAGATATATTTTAAAAAAAGCGACAAAAGTTCTCTCAGTCACTGTGTTTATATCTAAAAATTAATTGGATTAAAATTTACATCATCTTGCGCCATGGTTTTAGTGGTAAAAATTTCCGACTGACGCCCATTCAGCAGTTTTTGTTTGTTAGCTAAAGGCAACTGATAATTGTTAGTTCACACTTTTGTTACAAGGAATAAATATGTGAATATATATATATATATATATATATATATATATATATAAGAAATACATATATTCTTTTTTATAGAACAATCAATATTTGTTTCCTGGGTTTTTCAAACATTTTAGTTCATCAAAAAACTGGTTTATTAAAAAAAAACTCTTTTAAATCTTTTTACGGTCATTTGTGTTTGAT